TTGTTTTGTGTTGCTGTGCAACCCAAGACACTTGTGTGAGGGTGATTTGGGCTTTTTGAGGCTTTATGATTTTTCCATAAAGATGAAAATAGAAGCTATCACCATTAGACTGGTTTTTCTGCAGATACTTGCTTAGCAAACTGTTCTAAACCTGGCTTGGGAGCAAGAGTGGAGAATAGGATTTTCTAAATATAGTAACCCAGTGGTTATCAAACTTCAGTGCACACCAGAATCATCTGGAAAGCTCCTTAGAAAACACTGATTGCCAGTCCCATCTCTAATTTGTAATTCACTAGATATGGCCTGGGGCCTGAGAATTTATATTTCTAACAAGTTCCTAGATGATGCTGATGCTGATCTGGGAATCATACCATGAGAACCCCAGTTTAGCATAAGAAATATAGGGCTTTCATTAGAGTTTGAACCAGACAAACCCTTAGGATAACTTTTAACATGCTACTCCAGGCTGCTTTGATGACTCATGCACACATACCTAAATCAAGTCATTTGAATTATTCTCTAGAAATTCGTTTCAGGGAAGTATGATTAAGAAATTAGACACTTAGCATGGCACTTGATTCTTTCATTCTGCAAGCCATAATTCTTAAATATTTTTGGTCATGAGAGACTGATGAAAGCTATGGACTCCCTCCTGAAAAACCATATGCAAACATGCAATATCTTACATATAATATTGGTGGGGAATCATAGGCCACCCAGCAACCTTCCTGCAAAGCTCAATCACCCCAAATGAAGAGCCTATTTCAAACTAAACTCAGCTGAAGCCAGGGGTAAAAGAATGTTTTAGGTTAGGCATGGTGGCTCACGCCTGTAATCCCAGCACTTTGGGAGGCTGGGGCAGGTGGATCACTTGAGGCCAGGAGTTCAAGACTAGCCTGGCCAACATGGTGAAACTCTGTCTCTACTAAAAATACAAAAATGTAGCCGGGTGTAGTGGTGCATGCTTGTAATCTCAGCTACTAGGGAGGCTGAGGCAGGGGAATCACTTGAACCAGGAGGCAGAGGTTGCAGTGAGCCAAGATCGTGCCACTGCACCCCAACCTGGGTGACAGAAAGAAACTCTGTCTCAAAAAAAAAATATTTTAATTAAATTATTCTTCATGGTGTTCTTATAAATATAACTATTTCTCTGTGGCTACCTACAAATAAAACATGATGCACTGAAATGATAAAAGGCTATGAAAAACTCTGTCACCAATTAAAACATTTAATAATCACTTTGAATATGCTTATTCTTTATCTAGTTTCACAATCTTTGTGTTTATATTGGAGTAGTCTATACTTAAAGTAATTACACAAATACGTTAAAAATCTAGGCCGGGCGCTATAATGTTCCCTTATTATCCTTTAACATCAGTATAATTTGTAGCGACATCACCTCTCTCATTCCCGATATTAGTAAATTGTATCTCTTCTCTTTTTCCTCCTCTTCTTTGTTTTCTGTTAAGAGGTTACTCGATTTTATTAATATTCTCAATGAAATAGCATTTGCTTTCATTGATTTTATCTACTTTTCAAAATCTAGTTTATTGATTTCTGCTCTAATATTTCTTATTTTCATTCTTTTGGTTATTTTGAATTTCATTTGCTCTTTTTCTGTTTTGGTTAAGATGGAAGCAGAGGACACTGATCTGAGAATTTTCTTCTTATAAGCCGTTTTTTGGGGGTGGCAGGACAGGGTCTCACTTTGTCACCCAGGCAGGAATATAGTGGCACAATCTCAGCTCACTGCAGCCTCAATCTCCTGGGCTCAAGTGATCCTCCCACCTCAGCCCCCATCAAGTAACTGGGACTATAGGCATGTGCCACCATGCCCAGATAATTTTTTGTATTTTTTTAAATAGAGACAGAGTTTTGCCATGATGCCAAGGCTGGTCTTGAACTCCTAATCTCAAGCAATTCATCTCGATTTCCTACAGTGTTGGCACTAAAGGCGTGAGCCACTGGTGCCCCACCTTGTAAGCTTTCAATACTATAAAATTCCACCTAAGTACTGCTTTTGATATATGAGTTTTACTTTTAGCCCCAAATATTTTCTCTTTTCCCTTTTTTACTAAAAATTATTTTTTCAGAGATAGGGTCTCACTCTATTACCCAGATTGGAGTGCAGTGGCATGATCATAGCTCACTGTAACCATGAACTCCTAGGCTAAAGCAATCCTGCTGAGTAGCTGGGATTATAAATGCACACCACTGTGCCTAGCTAATTTTTTTTTTTTCTATTTTTTGAAAAGACGGGATCTCACTCTGTTGCCCAGGCTGATCTTGAACTCTGGGCCTCAAGCAATCCACCTGCCTTAGCTTCCCAAAGTGTTAGGATTACAGATGTGAGTCACTGCACTCGGCTCTAATTTTCCTTTTGATTTCTCCCTTGGCCCATGAGTTATTCTGAAGTATGTTATTTAGTTACCAAATATTTGAGAATTTTTGTTACTGAAGTCTTAATTCCATTGTGATCAAGAACACATTTTATGACTAAAATCCTTTTAAATTTATGGAGACTTGTTTTATGGTCCAGAATATGGTCCATTTCAAGTGTTTCATATATACTTGAAAGGAATATGTATTTGCTGTAGCTGGGTAGAGTGTCTTATAAAGATCAATGAGGTCAAGTTTGTTGATTGTATTTTTATCTTCTTTCATATACTTATTTTCTGTCTTTTTGTTTTATCAATTACTGAGAGAAGGTTAATAAAACTTTGGACTACAATTATGGATTTGTCTATTTCTCCTTGGAACTCTATAAATTTCTCATTCATGTATTTTGAAGTTCTGTTATTAGATGCTTAAATGTATAGTACTGTTATGTCTTCCTCATGAATGAACTCCTTCATCATTATGAAATAATTTTCTTTATCCCTGGCAATATTCTTTCCTCTGCAATATTACTAATATTGCTATTCCAAATACCTCTAAATAGTTTTGAGCTTTGTTCTGGTACACAGTCAAATTAACTGGAACAATTTGCTCCTTTTGGGTCTTTTTAAAATATTTGTTAGACAGGATCAGTGCAGTGCTCAATCTAGGGCGATTTCCTACTACTAAGGGCATGGTCTTTCAAAGTATACTACCCAACCCTCCATGAATTATGAGTTTTCACATCTAGCTGGTGGGAATAGGCACTATTCCCAACCCTGTGTGAGCAATGAGCACAACTTCTTCTAATCCTTTTGGGTAGTTCTTTCTTCATCCCAGGTAATTTCCTTACATGCATGTACTGCTTAGTACTCAGCTTTATACTTGAGATGTACTCTGTGAGGAACTCAGGAGTTCTCTCTGCAGTGATCTGCTCTCCAATACTCTGTGCTATACATTCTAGTTGCCTCAGTCTCCCCAGACTTGAAGTTCTGCCTTCTCAACTCAGGAAATCTGGGTTCTGTTTGTACCATATTCTGGAAACTATATCTTGGTATGCCTGTTTTCATTTTGTTTTGCTTTGCTGAATACCAGAAATCATGTACGAAAAATATACAGGCTCTGGATCATTCTTTCTTCTCCAAAGAATATAGAGAAGGCTTCTGCTAGGGTGCTAAAATAAACAGATTAATCAGTGACTGAGTTGACTGGAAATGGACTTCAACATTTTATTACACTAGGTCTATTTCTGATTTCCTTTAACTGGTCAGGTATAATCCATCAGTGGTCCCAACTGAAAGCTTAGGGTGTTTTTCAGGCCCGTCCACATTGGTGGGCTTTACATTCTATAAAATTTTTATCTTCCCAGCGTAATAAGAATGTAAGTAGCACTGATTGGCTTCTCGGCTTTTTAGCATCTTCTTTGTGTTTAGATTTTTACAAACTCTTGGTCTGTGCTACCTATAAATCAGTGAATGACTTGGAAGGAAAATTGCTTAGACTATTGAGTTGATCTTTCTGTGCCTATTTTCCATCCATGATCGTGGTTTCTCATGTCCTGAATCATTTGGTTTCCCTGAATTCATGTTTTTTTCCTCCCCAGTCCTATCAGACTGCAGAATAATCTGCCTGGCTTCTCTGATTTTAGCAGCTGCTTATTGTTTGGGTTCTCCTCATGTGCTACTTAATAAATGCCAAGTGTCTATAGGGAAAAAGTAGCCTAGAATACGGGACACTCAATGAGTTTCCCTTCTTTCTGAAGTCTTAGCTCTCAAGTACTAGCTGCCTTAGTAGGTCTTCTATGCCTTCAAATAGATTTTTAAAACCCAGCTTTTCTAGATGTCCTATATAAGAGTAAAAATCTATCAGATAGTCAATTATAGCCAAAATCAGATGCTTAATGTCTTATGTTTAACCTTAAAATCTTTTGACTGTCAAGAACTGTTTAAAGACAATCTTTACTCAGATGACAACACAAACTGAGTAAGACGTAACTATCCTTACTATTAACTGAGACCAACTAAGATACATTACAGAATCCTTAAGTTATAAAATATAAGCCTACTATAGAGTCTAATTTTGCCATTATTATTACTGGTCAGTGCATATTTGAAAATTAAACGTTCATGCAAAATTTGTATTAACATAAAGGGTAATGCTTATTTTGCAGGCATATAAGTGAAAAAACTAAAGTTAAAATTTTCTCCTTAGAAATTAATTGCAATAACTTCTATTCATTTTTCTTTTAGTTTAGTTTTCAACCTAGGACACAGAAATCCATTCTAAAACTGCTGAGTAAAAATTGCAGCATGTGTTATAGAAGCCAATAGCAAAATATCTGCCAACAGGACTTATAATTTCTTTCTCTTGCTTAGCTAATGTTTGCATTCTGAACATAGTTTCATATTGGGGTTTCTTTTTTTTTTTTAAGTCAAATGTCATATATTCTCATGCTTTATTTCCTGCTAGGGTCAGATATTTTATAGGTTCTTAAGAAATATGAATTCCCATTTCTCAAAGTAGTAAAGTTAACTCATAAATTTTTTTAAAAAATCAATTATAGCACAAGTCTCTCTATAATAGGGTATACAAAACATCCCAAGAGTATATAAATCCATACATACTATGCTGTTCATTTCAGACTCATAGCTCCCAACTGGATGGACATTTCCAATGGGTTCCAAGACTTCTTCATCCACATGTATGTTCCTCCATCAAAACTAGCAGACAGAGAGTTCAAATGAAGACCAACTCTGTAGTATCCAGTGAAACCAAATTATTCCCAGAAGTATGTCACATTGGGGTTTCTAATATGTTTTAGAGATCACAGATTTTTATAAAGTGTCTACTAGCTCACAGGACCACTGGTTACACAATAATCTTCAGCTGAGAATTTTCAAATTTCATTTACTTTCTGCTATTTTATCAGTTTAGTGTTTATATTTATTTCACTTATCTGTACTTACCAGGTTCCTTTAATGTTTCTTTGACATTTTCTCCTCTCCAGCCCTGGTGTGGCGGAGAATCCAACTCCTCTCTAGTCTGGTGGACTAGACTGAAGTTCTACATCTCAGCGAGGACAAAATTAAAAATGAAAGCCAAGTACTCCAGGGAAGCTTGCTCCTAATACTGGGTTTGTTAAAATCTTTTGTTTAAAAACGTTCACATCTGTTGCTTGGCACTGATCCTTAAGCTCCAAGACCCCTACCTTCTTAACTAATTATCCTCATGTCAAATAATCAGTTACAGTTGATTGACTACATACTCACAGAACTCCCCAAATCCCAAGTCCTCAAAATGAAGACAGAAGACCGGGATGGAAATCGAAGAACCTTTTTCAATCCAACTATTAAAGAAAGGGCATAACAAACAACATACCAGCCATAGCTTTGTGAGAAAATACAGTAACTGAGCCTATTATCTCTGAAAGAACGCTCCTCCCAAAAAGCCACCCCTCAGATGCTCCTGCCACAGATGAAGACCATGTATAATTCCACAGCATGGAATAAATGAGAAAGGGGAATTGTAAACAATCTGGCCAACCAAAAGCAAGAGAGACACAATGCAACTGAGATACTGCAGACTCCATTCCCCACTGAGCTGATATAATCCACACTTGGCACAAAGGCGTTCTCACTGCAGGCTTTCCTTCCTAAACACACAGGCCCTCCTGGCGAAATGTGGTGTGAGAGGGGAGAGAAAGACAAAAGGAGGGAGAGAAATAACTGCTGTAAAGGAGACCTACAGTGAGAATTAAAACTGTGTATTCCCTTTGACCCAAAAATGCGAATTTTGGGAATCTCTCCTATGGAAATAAAACCTAAAGCATAGGAAAAGATGTAGAATGTTGAATGTGGCATAATTTGTTGTATAAAAAAAGTTGGAAGAAAAACATGAATATCTATCAATGGGGAAGTAATAAATGAAAAGAATTATGGAACTTCCCATAATGGAATACTAGGTAGCTATTAAAAATATTAGATCAATTATATGTGTTAATCTAGAATAATGTACATAATATACACTAAGTAAAATGAAGGAAATAACAGAGTAGTGTATTATATGGTTCCATTTTCATATACAATAGAAAATAAGTCTACATACTTATGTTTGTTTGAACATAGAAAAGAAGTGATGGGACTGGGCACAGTGGCTCATGCCTATAATCCCAGCACTTTGGGAGGCTGAAGTGGGAAGATCACTTGAGCCTAGGAGTTCAAAATCAGCCTGGGCAACAAAGTGAGGCCATGGTTCTACAAAAAATGTTTACCATTAGACGAGTATGGTGGCATGTGAATTAGAACTTATACCAGTTCAATTGGAAGGATTGTTATGACTTTTCTTTTTTTGAGATGGAGTTTAGCTCTTGTTACCCAGGCTGGAGTGCAATGGTGCGATCTCGGCTCACTGCAACCTCCGCCTCCTGGGTTCAGGCAATTCTCCTGCCTCAGCCTCCCGAGTAGCTGGGATTACAGACACGCGCCACCATGCCCAGCTAATTTTTTGTATTTTTAGTAGAGATGGGGTTTCACCATGTTGACTAGGATGGTCTCGATCTCTTGACCTCGTGATCCACCCGCCTTGGCCTCCCAAAGTGCTGGGATTACAGGCTTGAGCCACCGCGCCCGGCCGACTTTTTTTTTTGAGACAGAATCTAGCTCTGTCACCCAGACTGGAGTGCAGTGACATGATCTTGGCTCACTGCAACCTCTGACCCCCAGGTTCAAGCGATTCTCCTGCCACAGGCTCCCTAGTAGCTAGTATTACAGTCACTTGTCCCGTACCTGGCTAATATTTATATTTTTAGTAGAGATGGGGTTTCACCATCTTGTTCAGGCTGGTCTTGAACTCCTGACCTCAAGTGATCCACCCATCTTGGCCTCCCAAAGTGCTGGGACTACAGGGGCAAGCCACTGCACATGGCTATATTTTCTTTATATACTGCTGTCTTACTAGACTTGTTACAATGTGTGTGTATGACTTTTACAACTTAAAAATGCAATACAGTTAAAATACAAAAAGTATTTATTGAGACTTGTAACTACAAGTAACCCCAGATCCCAGAGTTTAGTGAGGTATGTGGTCCTCTGGCATTTGCTTTGAATTGATCCTAGTGGTTAATGGCAGATAGCAGCTTCTGCTCCTGGAGATAGGGCTCACCTGTGTCACTCAACAGAAGCCAATTAAAGCCCAGAATCAATTCCAGTGCCTCTGGAAAGGTTGGCAGTTGTGAAACAAAAACTACATCTATTAATCCAAAGCTTCAGTCACAGAGCTTCCCAAGGGGCTGCCTGAGCCAGTGAGAAGCCAGCAAACCCATGGAAGAGAATAACTCACGCTTTTGTCTTGGAAAATCCCACTACTCCAACTATTGACAGCCTTTGTTGGCTCCTGTTCCATACTTCAGAGATGAGAAGCACAAAGCTGGCCCAGTTACTGCAGGAATAAATATTAAACTCTGTGGGAGAGATGCTGCTGCCCAGGTTTGAAGTGTTCTGTATTAGCCTTTGGTGGAAAATACTCTGATCACCACTGGAAGCCACCTGTCACACACAAAATGGCACTGGCCACTAAGGTGTGATACTTACCTCAGTATTTGCAATTCTGTTTCATGCCAATCAATACTTCCAAATCTTTGGAGGGTGGTAAACATATGATATTCCACAATAAAGAAAAAATATGCATAAGCTAGCAGTCTGTGAAACATTCACTGTGTAAGTTGTTCATCTTCCAACATATTTTTCTTTTCTACAGTCCTCTCTCGACACCCCATGCCTCTTTCTCTATTTTCCTATTTAACCTCTTTTTTCTCCTTAATGTTGTTCTGATTATCATAGAAATTCACACTTCTTAAAACAATCATGGAAAATACAGGTAAGTTGAAAAAATACAAGTAATCATTTATAATGTCACCACTAACATTTTAGGATAGTTTACCCTTTTAAGTACTCTGCATTTGTGTATCTTTGCAAGTGCAAATGAATGTCTTCCAAAATACCTACTATTATGAATGAATATATGGAAATATGAAAGAGGGGTGTGAACAGACATCCTTGCTGGGACCCATGCTGTTGTAATATGGCCATGTGTTTTTGTATGTCAAGTTTGTATTAATATTCCTCAGATTGACAGTGACAGCTGCCTTTGTGTCTCCTCCCTTCCTTTCTCCTAACAGCTGCCTTGGAAGTCAGCAATATTTGCATGTACAGATTCCCATGGGCGGTTATTTCATCATCTTTTATCCCTGTTTCTCACTTGCAGAAAACTGGGTACCCACCATCTCTGTGATCTCAGCATGTTACTACTCTTCCCTTTTCCTCTTTCCTGCTGTTATGCTTTCCTCTCCCTCTTTGCTCTAATCTTCTGCATTTATCCTAGCAGCATCCAAAAGCAGGCAGCCATCACTGGCTCATGAACAATCACAGAATAATTGAAATGTCTGTTCAGAAAAGGCACTCAGGTAGTGTGATGATCCGGTTTTGTTCTTTTGCTTAGGCTTGCTTTGGCTATTCAGGCTCTTTTTTGTCTCCATATGAGTTTTAGAATAGTTTTTGTTCTAATTCTGTGAAGAATGATGTTAGTAGTCTGATAGGAATAGCATTGAATATATACATTGCTTTGGGCAGTATGGTAATTTTAATGATATTGATTTTTCTAATCGATGAGCATGGGATATTTTTCCATTTATTTGTGTTCTTTCTAATTTTTTCCAGCAGTGTATTGTAGTTCTTTTTGTAGAACTCTTTCACCTCTTTGGTTGGCTGTATTCCTAGGTATTTCATTTTCTTTATGGCTGTTGGAAATGGGATCATGTTCTTAATTTGACTCAGACTGGATGTTATTGGTATTTAGAAATGCTACTGATTGGGCCGGGCGCAGTGGCTCACGCCTGTAATCCCAGCACTTTGGGAGGCCAAGGCGGGTGGATCACAAGGTCAAGAGATCGAGACCATTCTGGTCAACATAGTGAAACCCCGTCTCTACTAAAAAAGAAATACAAAAAATTAGCTGGGCATGGTGGCGCGTGCCTGTAATCCCAGCTACTCAGTAGGCTGAGGCAGGAGAATTGCCTGAACCCAGGAGGTGGAGGTTGCGGTGAGCCGAGATCGCGCCATTGCACTCCAGCCTGGGTAACAAGAGCGAAACTCCGTCTCAAAAAAAAAAAAAAAAGAAAGAAAGAAATGCTACTGATTTTTATATATTGATTTTGTATCCCGAAACCTTGCTAAAATTGTTTTTCAGTTCTAACAGCCTTTTCGCAGAGTCTTCAGGGTTTTCTAAGTATAGAATTATATCATCAGCAAAGGGATATAGTTCAACAACTTCTTTTCTTATTTGGATGCCTTTCATTTCTTTGACTTACCAGACTGTGCTGGCAGAGACTTCTAGCACTACCTTGAATAGGAGTGGTGAGAGTGGACATCCTTGCCTTGTCCCAGTTCTCAAGGGGAATGGTTCTAGCTTTTGCTCATTCAGTATGATGTTGGCTGTAGGTTTATCAGGGATAGCTCTCATTATTTTGAGGTATGTCCATTCGATGCCTAGTTCGTTGAGGGTTTTTATTGTGAAGGGATTTTGGATTTTATCAAAAGCTTTTTCTGTGTCTATTGAGATGACACAGATGATCATATGTTTTTTGCTTTTAATTTTGTTTATATGGTGAATTGCATTTATTGATTTGTGTATGTTGAACCAATCATGCATCCCAGGAGTAATGCCT